CAACAATGTAGAAAAATAATGGGTATGTACTGGTACTCTGCTTTCAATACCTGCCATCCTTTTCCTACGCCAGTCCTTCTTCATGACAAGCATCTTGCTTGCTTGGAGATCACCACTCCTGATGCAAACCAAGCTGGCTTTTCATGACAATTTTCACCCATGAGGAGAGGGAAGCTCTGACATGCCTTCATGCTGATTTTGTCCATTAAAGTTCTCTCTAAATGGCTCTGCAAGGTTGTTTGATTTTACTGGGGACTTTAAGAATGGTACTGCAGCTTTTGGATGCCAAGGAATAACTACTTTACATGGTTATTTTAAACTAATTATCTGTATCATGAGTATAATTGTACTGCCTAGAATTTTCTATGTGATCATATTTAAATCAATGAAAATAAATGATGAAAAGTTTAAAAGGAAAACATGGAAGTCTAGCCTGAAGTGAGCCAGTCAAGTCACCAGCCTAATAATCATCTGTGAAGAGAGGTGTTGCAGTCAGGCTTTCATCCAGAAATGAACTGCAGGATTCAAACGGTGGATGATACAGACAGATGGAGGCTATAAATTAGACTAAGGAAACTCTCAAGAATCAGGGAAAACAGAGTAAGGGCTGTGTTGTGTTAAATTTTGGCTTCAGAGAAGTAAGAGTTGATCCTTCCCTGTACCCCAGGCTGAATTGTTGGAACTGTGGCACGCCAGCTATGCTAAAATTAAGGATGAGACCCTTCTCTTTTAGCTTTTCTGAGTGCTGTAAAATCCCCAGGCTTGTTTGGAATGCATTGATGTTCAGTGTGTGTCCTGGACATGGAAGTTAGCATTAGTGCTCCAGATTTGGAGTCACTGACCATGGCCTTCAGGACATAGGCTGACCCCATCCACATGCAGTTTTTCATTAGAACAGCTGAGTCTACCAACATTTGAAAGGGTGACTGCCAGGAAGAAATCAAGCTATAGCTCTGGTAAGAGTTCAGAAAGCTTTTCTTGGTTCTAATGTGAAACTCAAGACATCCGTAACATACATGTCCTCCCCGTGAACAGCACCGAATATGAACTCCCTCTGCAGCGAAGCACTTCATGAACCTACCTTCATTCTTCACTTTTAAATACACTACGCTGCCTAGTGTTATACCTGTCACTTACCCTTCCCCGAGCCCACAGACCATCCTCACCTCCTGCCTAATGTGCAAAAGCCAGCAGCTTGCCCCACAATTCACGCCCAGCTGACAGTTCTGGACTTACACACAGTCGGATCTCTCAAGGTATTCAAGCACTTCTCTCCTTTGATCATATACTCATAGGTGAGGCAGAAAGGCCTCTTAGCTCTCTTGAATAGAAAATGCCTGTCCAGACAACTTCATATCATAGTGACATCTTACCAAGTAGTGGACGCTAGTCTCTCTGGTGATCAGCTCAGCTTCACAGACCAAAATGAACAGTAGACACTAGAGTAGCAGCAGACACTTTCCATTGATTATTTCTGAAGAACAGATTTAAGCTGGCCTGGGTGTCTCCCCTTTTTTTTTCCAAAAAGGTAAGTTTTGCTAAGCCTGTCATTCTGAAAGAGCTGGAAAAGTTACTGGGTATCTTTAACCCTATATCAGTGAGGATTTTTGTCACTAGTCAGTTACCTGAATGAGATGAGCTTACAATAGATACACAGGATGCTGTGTATGTCAAAAGTTAAATATTGGCACCTCGGTTCTGTGATTGGGAGTGCATGTTTTTATCCCTAGCTTTGATTCATCTTTTAAAATTCAGAGCTGAAGTATGACATGTGCAACTGTGATCAAACAGCCTCTCAGTCTTCCCTTTGATAAACTGAACAGGCTAAGTCTCTTTGGTCTCACATCCATAACTATGTTTTTCAAGCTGCATGTTCTTTTCAGATCTGATCTTCCAAATGACGTAATGTAAACATTACATATTAAGGGATTAAAACCCCTCCGTATCACTCTGCTATATTATTATATAGGCATCTAGCTTGCCATTTTGTAAAATAAACTGAGCGCACAGGGTGATCCATACTTCTGACTCCTGCTTCTTCCATGTTGCACACCTTTTGCAGTCTGGTGGCAATACACTGGCTTGGAGAAGATATGTCTGTCCGAATGCCTCTAGTAAGGCTAAATGGTGGAGGACGGGAGGCAGGGAGGAAGACACTTCAGGGAAGCTATGACAGCTTTATAGCATTCTCTATACGCACTTGAATCTGGGCTGCTCCAAGTCTATGGGGGTCTCTTTTATAAGGCAAATTACCCAGATCACCCAATGGAGCACATCACTACCAAGGCCTGGTGCAGCAGTTCATGCTCTGATCTTGCTACTGAAATACTATTGCCTCCTCCAAGCTAATACACACCCAGTGCTTGTGCAAACTGCTGTCCCCCCCTCTGGAGGGGACCAGAGAAAGAAGTCTTGGAAATCTGCATTTATCACAAGTTGTATCAGGAGGTGCCCTTTCTTTAAACCTTTCTGGTTATCTCTAGACCAGATAAATGGACAGTAGTTAGTATAACTTGGTTTAAATTAGATGTATTACAAAAATAAAGCATGGAATTAACCCGAAAGAGGCAGTTCACTAACCACAGAGATTTACACGTCCTTTGAGCTAATGTAGGTAAATATTTCTCCACTTTGGGCTAGTGAAAAAAACAGGAAAGGGAAAAGGTTACCTGCTTTGCAATCAGTCTCCTCTTTCTGACCAGACTGGTAGCTTCTCTTCCATTTGAGATTCTCTCTCTCTTTTGTGTCCAGAATCTCTCTCACTGCTGCTCTCAAGACGTTCTCATCCAAATCAAACTTTGGAGTCTGATTTACCTTCCAAATCCAGTTAATTTTCCTATCCTATCCAGGTAAAATCCTATCCCAGGTCAACTGCTCTTGCCTTTAGAAGTATTCTCTTTTTTGTTTTTGTTTTTTGTTTTTTTTTAAATATTTGATGGAGCTGGGAACGGCCTTGTTGGAGAGATGGGGCCACTGAGGATGCAGACTTTTAAAAAATGTAACCATCTTCCAATAGCTACCTTTTAATTGCTACCTTTCAAGTCCTAGACCTAATTCAGAAATACCATTGGCTGCTTGTAATATATTTGTTAGACTTCTCCAAACTTTTTCTTTCCTGAAAATTACATGGCCATTATATTTCATTATAATGCATAACAATCTTCTACTCTCATGTTCCATATACTATAAACTATATTGAACACAGACTCGTCTGAACTTATTTGAACTTATTCTTATTTGAACTACTTTTTAAATCGATGATTAATTTTAAAATATTCTGTCACAGACAATTTACAGCAAATCTTGATAAACTGCCAGTGTTCTTTTAAAAATCTCTGCCTTATTTCTAATATGAGTTTGTCTAGCATCAAATTCCAGTCATTGGAGATTGCTAACCCTTCTCTTCTGGCTGGAAAGAAGGAGCTGTAATCTGGATATGTGCAGCAGTCACTTCTTCATCTTTTTGACAAGCTACATAGTCTGAGCTCCTAAAGTCTCACTTATCAGGTAGGTTTTCTAATCGTATAATCATGTCAGTCTTAACCCTCTGCAGACTATCAACATCTTTCTTGAACTGCCAGTGCCAGAAATTTTCCTTTTCTAATACAGATTTAGGATGGGTCCCTAGAGCTTGCATGCCCTGGTTTCAGTGATGCTCTGTGTACATCAGTTATGAGACTGACTAAGGAACAACAGAGTAAGATGGCAAGGAATAGCATATAAGAACATAGATAGTCTCTGTTCCAAATGGTTAACTATCTAAGTAGTCAAGACAGACATAGAATGTAACAGACTGATACAACAGACAAAAGAGCAATTGTCTCTAAAGGTCGTATCACTGTCATAATTAAAACGTTAAGATTCTTAGTTTTTCCTGGAAACAAGAAGCTAAAGAAACAAACAGCAAGTTTGTCTTGTAAGAAAAATGCAGAAACAAAGGGAAATAGATGGAATTCCAGGAGAAAGAAATGAAACAGAACTAAGCGTGAGAAAGGCATCAAGGAGGAAGGAATGAAGCTCAAGGTGAAAAGACTCTGAGGTGATGGTGAATAGGACTGCAACACAGAAGAGAGAATATTCAGAATGAGAAATAACAAGGAGGCTGATGTCACCAGTTTTGCCAGTCCCAGCTGCAGAACTTCCTCAGGCTACTTCTGGGAGAGTTTTCCAGGTTTGTAAGCTCTGTCTCCTAGTGAAGCTCATGCCCCCACTGAGTATTTTTCTTGCATGATCCTATCATCTTGTTGAGTGTGTCATGTCCCCAGATAGAGTGAAATCACTTCAGCCCACTTTGGTCGATATAATTCTGAAATACAGAATTCAGGAAAATCTATCTCACTTAAGAGCGAAGCAAAACTAGCCACCTGGGCAGACAGGAGCCCAGAAGAAAACACGGATTCAGATGAAAGCCTCTCTAGAATTCCCTGTGCCTAGATAAGTTCTTTGAACTGACTAATAAAAATAAACTTAGTCCTCAGTAGTGAAATTCTATTACTAAACACAAGGCATGAAAGCTTGTTTATCACCATAAAAAACCCTAAGAAATAATTTGATTAAGACACATACATAGCAACATCTGATGGATCCTTTTTGTTTTTCTGGGTCCATCCTGTATGCCAGTGTGGGACTCGGCTCCAGTGGGTGTAGAATCAAATTTTATGTTTGTAAAACCTCAACCAAAGCTAAAGCATATGCTCTGTCAGTGGTCAGGAGGTAGTGCTGGGATGCAAAACTTCTGTACAGTGCTGTATTTATTCCAGGTCTACACCACGTAGATCGAACTCACAGATCTATATAGTTTCTCACTACCAATGTAGATAGGAACTGTTTTTACAAATCCGTGCTCCTCAAGCTACCAACTGCTGGTAGTTTGTGAGGAAAAGGGTCCATGGAACTATTTTGTCAGTGTCAGCTACCCAGCTTTTGCTATGGCCCTTGAAGATGCGGGGTCTTTTGAGGCCTCCACACTTTGAGGCTTAAGCACTGTGACATTCTCAAGTTGCTACACTATACCATTTCACATATAGAATTTACTATGCAGTATATATTAGTATATACTATGCAGTTGAGAGTTCCTTCATTAATGTCTACTTTAATTAATGTCTACTTTAAAGTCTTCAGTCAAACTCATTAAGCCTGATTAAGATCTTTACGACTGCTTTTAGAAAACATCTGTTTCTTGAATTGGAACTGGTTTGTTCAACTGGTTAACTAAAACGTGAGGTATTTTGTTTACAGTCTAAGGGTGGATGCTCATTTGCATAATATGACTCAACTTTGCATGCCAACCCATGTTCTGACTTTCTGTATAATTTACAGGTATAATTTTAGCTATTGTCAGCATGTTTATAGCAAACTGGATGGAATGTCATAGATTTTGAAACACCAGAAAACATTTTTCAGCTCTTTAGAGTTAGGTGTGTTGTGTCATTAGGAAATAGGGGGCTGAGGGGGGAATCCGTGTGAGCCAACAATGGATGTGATAAGGTTGAGTAACAAATAGCCAAAGTATAGAAACAAAGGAAGCCAAGTAGCTCAGTTTCTCATTTCCTTTTCCTCTTCTGCAAAAAAGGCAGCATGATGAATGCCAAGTAACAATGACAAATGCTCACCAGATCACAGTTTAACCCTGCTGAAACAGAGCAAACTATGAAATGCACTATGAGTGCTTTTCCCAATGGACAAATCTTGCCACAGAACTCACCATCATCACTGTCACAGGCTACTGTCATGGCTGGCAAGCTCAGCAGAAAAGCTCATGACAAGAATAACTGGAAATGTGAGCGACAGTCCCATCTTAGTAGTGTTTGAAGTGCAGTCATACACACTGTTAGGTCAATGCTTTCAATAGGTGATTTTGAAAGTCCTTGCACCAAAAGTTTTGTGAGGGGAAGAGGATGTCACATCTTGAATGCCTCTGAGATCTCTTTGAATGCCACTGCCTCCTTCTGAGTTCCTGCAGGCACTGGTCTCGCTATCACTTCTTGCAACCCTGTGACTCCTGTTTCACAGATCCCACGCTGAGCTTGGAGCTCAGCAGCAATCATCTATCAGCAGAGGCAGCTATCAGTTTGCCAAATCTTCATTTGACTCCCACAAAGACTGACATGGAAGCCGTACTTCAGACTTGTGACAGCAGGTCCTGCGCAGGGGTATTTCCATGCAAGACACAACATCATGTTGAATGTCTGGTTAATAGCTGCACTGTTGTGAGTGTTTGTAACTACTCTGCGCTGCTCTTCAGGAAGATTGGGATAATAATCGAGAACAAGAAGACTAGACAAGAGGAGAGTTTAGAAAGAAACTCACAATGAAACTCAAAACAACCATTCTGGGTAAAATTTCTAACAGAGTTAAAGTCATCAGGACCTTGAACCCAACTTGCGGAACGACACAGGGACTCTGAAGCCTGAAACCCACTTTAGGACACAGCTAAATTTTTAATGCCAAAGCTTGCACTGATTTTGCAAAGGGTGATTAGTCTCTTCAAAACAATTTCTGCTCTTGAAATGATTCTGTAAAAAAGTCTGATGACTCAGGTAAGGCAGACATAGCCAAAAAGTGCTTATCATGTCTGATGAGAGGAAGAGGGGTTCAAGAAAAGGAAGAGGGGCCAGAACGGTGGGATTACATGGCATTCATAGTCCTCCAATTACCAAGATGCACAGCCGTGGACCAGCTCCTGATGTAAATTTTAACAGCTGCCAGGTTCCTGTAGTATAGGTTGCCTGCCAACAGCTCCTAGGAACTAGCCCAGTAATCACAGATCAGTGCCCCTAGTCTTTCCTCAGGTCACATGCCTTCTCCCAGCTAAAAGGAGGCAAGACAGTACAGCTCCAGCTCCACCTGGGAATCTCCTCACATTTGAGAAGCTAACAAGGCTAGATCTGCAGGGTTTACACAGCTTTGCACTGCAGAATAGAAACTGAACCTTTGACTTCTGAAGATATCCATCTTCAGACAATAGAATTCTCATTCTGAAGATGAAAGGACTGCTGAGGTGCCATTGATTGTTTTGGAAATTATTTTCACCAAAGAATGCTGGTATCTCTCCCAGCCTGAACTAACAGTCCACCAGGGCTGGGGCCAGGAGCGTTCCTTTAATAACAGAACAATGATAATACTTCTTATTTCACTTACACAACAAATCACACAGCTTGACAGCTTGGAAGAGAAAAGGAGCTGGTACCCATATTTCATTTTGGTGTGTGTGAAGACATCCACTTCGTCTGATTTGTGCAAGTGCAACAGTAAGTGCAAATGCTCTGGGAAAAGTCCCACTGGTCACACAACATATAACAGCCAACTCCAGAGAATTAAGCCTGAAGGTGAAAACATACATGAGATACAGCTTCTTTCATCATTTCAGGAAGCCTATATTGCTAGCTGACAACACGTATCGCATTTTGTCATACATTCTGAATAACTTACTACTTAATAATAACACTTCAGAGTAAGTAAATTAATAAAAAAATGCTCTCTGCTCTACCTTGTTAAAGTGAGTATTACTTCCTTCGTGTGTTTAACCCATTTACTAATGTGTTTTGGCACCGATTCTGAGTAACACAACAGCAGTTTTTGAAATAGCATTTTCAAACACCTCCCCCATTGCTTTCCTGTATACTATCTGCCCTTGTCGTCCATACTAGCACTCTGTTATGGTCACATTTGGCACAATGGACAGGGTGGTATTTCATTCCAGCCGTCAGACACATCATGCTTGTTTTGGCATGACACAGAGATGTTTTTTCTTTTACCAGGTTCATGACAAAAATGTGTTTCTCTAACTTACACTATTTTTGGCATGTTTGGTTTACTGAGTAGAGGATAAATCATGCTATGAGTACCATTTTTAAGCAAGAAATGCCTCCAAGAAGAGGGCACTTTTGTGGTGTTTTCTTAAAAGAATCAGTCTTTGCTTGTACTCCATAGCTGTATCCCTTTATCAAGGAATGTTTTATCTGCAGCAGACAATGCTTTGTGAACTCCAGTGACCCACAAGGATGTGAATACCGGAGTGCTTCATGGATTTAAGCTCTTGAGTAGGGGTCAATGAAGAGTCTTGGCTGCACTGCTGGGAGCAAGATGGGGTTTCTCCGATTAGTCAAATTCAGCTGGAAGTCTTTACATTGATTAGACAAGTCTTTGATGGAAGGGAAGATACAATTTGAGCCAGTGATTTAAAGAATTAGTTTTCTTGACCAACATCACGCTGACTTTGCTTCCACTGAGATGCAGTGAATTACTCCTCATCAAAACATTGATTTCCTAAAAGTTGTCTCATGTTTCTGAAACAGTAGGTGACAGCATTCACTGAGAGCAGGACAAATGTCCCTGCTGACAAAGAAGCTCCTGACATTATACCACCTCTCCCACTCTCCTGGATCTGTTGAAGAGCAAGACCACAAGGAGGATCTCTGTAGGATACTCTCTTAAGGATCTCCACAGTGAAAGACAGCCATGGGTCATTTCTTTCTGTCCCCTGCTGAATAGCAAAACAAACATGCTTCACAGAATGGGAAATGCATGTAGAGAGCACAACTACTTTCCAAGGTCCAGCTTGCTAAACCTGAAAGGCTGTGAAAGAAGCAGGGCGGAAGAACACATCACATTTGGGCAACAGATGTCCAGACAGGACAGTGATTCAGAAAACACCTGGTGAGGATTCTTCATTTGAATATTCCTGTACCCAGCAAAGCACAGGATCAGAAGAGTACAGATGAAACTTAACATTACCTTCAAGAATCCTTATGTCCTCCCTCTCAAATTTGATTTCAAGGTGGGTGCTACCTGAACATCTGAAATAAGGAGGAATTTCTGCTACTGCTTGGCTAAAAATCACATTCGACCTCACACTGAAGCAGCAGCTGCACTGTTGATCTTTCTCTGGAGACCTTCAGATCATGTGATCTGACAATGCACTCTCTCTGGATTTTATTTCTGCCTCAGTTTGGTTGAAAGTTGTATGTGCATGTGTGTGTGTACTCATGTGCACACATACACATTTGTGTGTGTGAGCATGCATGCTTTATGTATGCATGTGTGTTACATCCACTCTACTTTGCAGGTTTCAGTTTACATGACTTCTGGTGGACGCTCAGTCTGTCTGGAAGGAAAGTACGCCCGCAAATATCACATGGAACTAGCTGGTTCTGGGCGCTGGTCCAGGCAGCCTCATTTAAAGAATCAAGATCATAGAAACCTTTGGCTGGAAAATTAAAAAAAGAAAGTATCAGTTTTCATTCTGGAGACCCACATTCAACTCTTTATGGAAAATATTTTCAGGAAATACCTGTTGACTGAGCCTTTCAGTTTTAACCAAACCATATTGCTTTTGCAAATGAAAAAGAAAGAAAAGAAAGAAGACTAAAAAAAACCCCAAAACAAAACAACCCCCCCTCCCAAAAAAAAAAGCCTCTGCTTTTTGTCCCAGGGGTTGAATTAAATTAACTTCAAACTGAATCATTCTGTAGTGTATGAGAGTACAGAGAAAACACCATGCTGTGTGTTATGATATGCATTCTTAGCTAATTATTAACATCTTTGCACACATACTATTATCAGCAAATTTCACGTTTTGGCTTTACTTCAAGTTTTATTTAATGAGCATGTGTTATCTGACCATGGCAATGGCAGGGAGTATATCGTGCTTGAGAATATGCTCTTTGTACTGCCCTGGACAAGAGGCCCAAATTTCTTCCTGTTGAAATCTATATAAGTTTTGCCAATAACTTGACTAAAGGTTAGGTAAGCCTAAAACCTCTTACAGGCAAAACCTACAATTCTTTTAAGCCACAGCTTCCAGTGAGGTCATTGCACTGATGTATCTTTTGTCATCTAAGCAACGATGCAGTTTTACTCTCAGTTACTTTCCATTGCAGAAAGATTCACTGCTCTGAAAGTTCAGAAGCATTCTTCAAACACTCACATCAGATGTCTTTTCAAGATTGTATTTGACTGTAAAAAAAATCTTATTTACTTGCATCTTGTGAAATGGACTTTCACATAGTGCTGTTTCAAATTCATTTGCAAAAATGACAGGTAGGTTGCTTAATATCTGAATTTAGATCATAAAGTCTTCATTTAAAGTGCCAAAAGAAAATATATACATGGCTTCATTTGAAGCTGTACTTGTTTTGCCCTTCCCAAAAGATATGACAATACAGAAAATGGCTAAAGAAATTGTTTTTGCCTTTGAACTGTTAGCAGCACACACTTTTTAAAAAGAAAAGGATCTGTACATTTAAAAATATTCCACGGTTTCTGTCATTGGCACACCATGGATTTCTTCATTAAAGGCCCATACACTTTTAATATGATTCATATCCAATGGTTCACATAACCACAATAAGCCTTAGATCTCTTAATATGCCTGTTCCTAATGTTCTTTTTGTTAGAAGAGCAACCAAGTAGTGTTTCTTTTCTTGGCTGAGACAAATATCCCCTTTGCTTGCAGGAAATGAATGTGTATTTTCTGTACTTTGGAAAGTTTATTGAATATGAAAAAAGAGAAAAAGAAAGACGACTTTCTCCTTACAGGCATGTGTTGCATTCCACAAATAAAACACTGTGTAATCAGAGCAGTGGTTGTCTTGCCGTGACACTTTAGTTTTCAAAAAGGATTTATGTAAGTTATAAAAAGTTTTATGTAAGCAGTTAATATTTCTGAACTTATTTTGAACACTGCCTGTTCCATTCAACAACAGGGTAACCCCTCCTCCTCAAACTGAGAAACCATGAGACATGCAGTACGTGTATGTGGTCTGAGGGTCAGTTATAGCTTTTACCAGATGATTGAGAGTATGTCTTATGGAAAAAGAACAACAGTGAGATTATTTTCTTCAGGCCAGGAGCATGAGGCAACTGTAGAGGGAACAATAGTTTTAGCTCAAGCTACAGAACTGATCAGACTTGCATCAGCAGACATGTAGGGACACATGTTGGAAGCAGGTCAGTACCCCCTGGGAAGTGTGGGCACACAACACCTCATAGGAGATGTGTGGCGCCTGATACGACTCTCTGCATAAATGAGACAATTTTCAGATCCATATCTGGGAGCCTTTTGCTGGATTGTTCTCTCAAAGAGTAGATGTCTTTCTGCTTCCATTCCCTCAAAATAAGAATAGTGTATTTCAAAATAACCTGAATTGTCCTTTTGCATCCTCCTCTTTCAGACAGAATTCTCATTTTCTCCATCTTTTTTGCCACACACGTAAAAATTAAAAAAGCTTAACAAAAAGAGCAAATGAAATGAAAACATCTTTTGGAAATGCCTATCTTTACTGCAGATTCAGCTCAGCTGCTTGACATCTGTTAAACAATATTGATATTATTTGAGCTGCTATTATTATTATTTTGAACAGATGATTAGTGTTCTCCCTGGTCCTGCTCTCTCCTAGGTGCATCTCCTGGGGACATATTTCTTTGTGCTGCTGTAAAGTGATCTAATGTATGATTCTTTCCCAGCGAATTGTGGGAGAACTTGTCTGTTTTTTGAGACATTAAGGGAAGCTGTGGGAAATTACAGAGAATACAAATAAAAAGCGGATGAATTAGCCACCTGGGCGCAAGTGGTCCAAACTTGGCCTGAACTAGGTCAGACCAGCTGGCAGGGCCAGGGAAGGCATCCAACGGAAGTGAATCAACTTCCAAGCAAAGCCTAAATGAAAATTCAGCTTGATTCTACAGTGAGCACATATCCCTTGGATAAATATGGGAGCCTAGCTCTGTAAGGTGCTAGGGATCATCAATTTTCATTGATTTGAAGAAGTGAGATCTCAGCATCTTATAGAACAGGATCAAACACGCAAACAGGACATAATTAACAGAAATAGAATGTACTATACAGCATTTTCCCCACTGTGTTTATACTATAATATTTCACAATGTAAGCTTCTAAGGCTTGTAAATAAAAAGTGGCTAACAGCATCCACTGGATACTAATTGTAGAAGATACTGCAATTTTAACTCTGCATATATTTTAATAAAAACCTGAACCTACAGCATATATCACAGGCTAGCTTTTAAAAATACCTTATTTTCTAGCAGTTCTCATGTATTTAGTACTGTCTGTCTTATTTCACCACCGAACTCACATTTTAGAAGCCACTCACTGTTTACCATCGGGGTAAGAGCTAGTGTTTGGCCTTTTTTATAACCAACACTATAGGCGTAAAACCTGGCTGAGATATCAGTTGGTATGTTGCCTGACGGGTATTTTGTTTTAATGACTGTATGTGTCAAGTCTGCACATTATTCGTGGAGACTTTTGCTCATTTTAAAATATGCTTTTCTAAAGTGTTGAAAGTAGTCAAAAAGTAATGATGTAGCTGTGAAGCAGGCTGCTAATCTTTTCATGTTTTGATTCAGAGGTATTGACATACAAAGAGGCATGTCCCAAGGCAATGACTACTCTTATTTCTCACTGATGTAGCACCAAAAGAGAATAAAATACTTAACAGAAAGCTTAAAACAAGCTACAGTCCTATGATAACCAGCTTCTCTTTGGACTGAATGGGGGTATTTGCAAACCACTGAGCTAGTCCTTAATTTTTTTTTCTTTCTCCCACTTTCTTCCTCCCATTTCCCCATTTGGTCTGTAGCTTACCTTGTATGGAAGTGATGTCAGGCTTTTTGGGTTCTGGCCTTCTCAAATGCTTGGGTAGCATGTCGTTCTCCTGATGCCATTTTTTCAAGCATTGTGGCTCATGGATACTAATAGATTTTGTTCCATACTCACGGCCACATATATAACAAATAACTGTTGGTGGCCGTCTTGTCACTGGTGGCTGCAAATAACAGTTGTAATGAAGAATCAGCATTGTTTTCAACATTAATTTTGAACCAGAATAACTCTAAATTAATGAAATGAATGAATGAAAACAATCATGCTGAAAAAGAAACTGCTTCATATCTGTGAAATCACTGATAATGTTCCTATCAGTTTCAGTATATCTACATTCAGTCCTGAAGCTTGCAAGAGATATTGCATCATTAACTGACCATTTGGAACAGGTATGCTCCTTCTCCAGATATTGGTCTGAACACTCATGTGTGTCACTTAATTAATAGCTATGTAACTCTGTTATTTTTGCACAAGTTCATGAAAATGCTGACTTACCACATTCAGAGAGAACTCCTCTGCTTGATCAAGTTGCTGTGGTACAGTGACAATCTTAAACATTTAAATCCTGTTTTAACTACTGAACAGAAGGAATACGGAAAGCGACAATAAAACCTTCCTCAGCTGAACTGCTGATATGCTAATCCAAGAGCAGAAAGACCCCATCTCCACGCAGAACACAGTTAAAGCATCATGTCAGGCCTCAGCATCTCTCTTAAGCCAAACAGTGACAGCAACTGTGATAAATTTGTGATCATGGGAACTAACTGTGTTACTTCTGCCACAGATTGGTTAACTCGTAGAATTCTTGGCCGTGACAGATTAAAACCAATCCAGGACATTTCAGGATTGGGGGCAAAAAAAGGAACTGTTGTTTGTTTATCCCAAAGAACTCTGTGTGAATCTTGCTATGACTTCAGTGAGAACAGAACTGGGCTCTAAGCAAGTCATTGTTTCTGTACTGCAGATCTGCTTTTGTTTGTAGAGAAAAAGAGAAAAAAAACCTCAACCTCCAACCCAGAAATACATATTCTAAGCTTGAAAAATATATAATTACTGTGGCATTGCGAATTATGGACTAAACTATGTCTTTAGGCACATCCTGCACTAGGCGTGGTAGCAGCGTAAAGCAGAAACATACTGCAAAGATATCATTTTGAGGCACATCGATGATTCCTGCAACTGTCAGAATTTCCTTCATTCTTGGTTGCAGAATACCAGTAAAAGACTACCTATTTCCTGTCTTTTTATTAAAGGTAAAGGGAGAGCCATGCCAGACCAAACATGGGAGACTTTTCTCACGTAAGCAAGGGAGGTGGAGATTTCATTTTTTCCCTCTGCTGTATATGACAAAAGCATAACCTATTCCAATATTTATGACTCTGTCAGCCCATCAGTGTAGTCAAGAAATTCTAGGCAGCTCTTCTTGCATTTATGCTACAGTCTGAAAAAGTCATTAGTGAATAATCTCCATAAGCTTTCTTTCCTGCATCACACATGTAAACTCTATTATATGAAGAAATAATACTCTACAAAGCGTCCTTTTGCTGGGAAAAGTTCATAGAATTACAGAACAGTTGAGGTTGGCCTCCTGCTCAAGCGGTGTCAACATTCTCTGCAAGCTGACCAGGATCATGTCCAGTCAGATTGTGAAAATCTCCAAGGATGGAGACTCCACAACCCCACTGGGCAACCTATTCCAAAGTTTGACTAAAAAGTTTCCAATACCTAGGTATTTACCTGAGACATCTCTCTATTCTCTCAGCCTCTCCAAATATGACAGATGCTCCTATGCCTTAATCATCCTCATGGCCCTTCACTGGCCTTCCTCCAATACGTCCATCTCTTTCTTGCAATGGGGAGCCCCAAGCTGGATCCAGCGCGGCCTCACCGCTGGTGCCGAGTAGAAGGGAAGGATCACCTCCCTCAACCTGCTGGCAGCGCTCTTCCTAAGGCAGCCCAGGATGCCGATGAGCTTGGCCGCGAGGAGGCATCGCTGGCTCACGTTCAACTTGCTGTCCACCACGACGCCCAGATCCTTCTCTGCAAAGCCGCTTTGCGGTCAGCCCGCCCCCAACCTCTGCTGGCGCGCGGGGCTATTCCTCCCCAGACGCAGGAGTCTGCGCTTCCCCTGTTTCCACTTCATGAGCTTCCTCCCTGGCAATTTCTCCAGCCTCTCGAGGTCCCTCTGACCGGCAGCGCCAACAACTGCTTTAGCGGCCACTCCTCCCAGGTCTGCATTGTCTGCACACTTGCTGAGGGTACCCGCTGCCCCACCACCCACACCATTAACAAAGATGTTAAACAGCACTGGCCCCAGGATCGACCCCTGGCGGGCACCTCTCCGGACTGGCCTCCAGCTGGACTTTCTGCCGCTCCTCATGGCCCTTTGAGCTTGGCGATTCAGCCGGTTCTCAGTCCGCCTCACCGTCCTCTTATCTAGCCCACACTTCACCAGTTTGTTCTATGAGGATGTCGTGGGAGACGGTGCCGAAAGCCTCACCAAAGTCAAGATGAACAATACCCACTGCTCTCCCCTCCTCCACCAAGCTGGTCATTTCACCACGGGAGGCTAGCAGGAGGGTCAGCCGTGATTTCCCCTTCATAAATCCACGCCGACTACTCCCAAACACCTTCTTGTCGCTCATACGTTGGGAAAGGGGTTCCAGAATGAGTCGCTCCATCCCCCTCCCAGGGATCGGGGGGAGGCAGACCAGCCTGAGTCATGTCCTCAGGAACCTCCCCGGATGGCCAGGACTTTTCAAAGATCATCGAGAGAGATGACATCAGCCAGCTCCCTCAGCCCCCATGGGTGCACCACAGCGGGTCCCGTGCACCCATCTATCTCCAGTTTGTTTAAACGTTCTCTAATCTGATTCTCCTCCTCCACCGAGGGCAAGTCTTCCTCGCCCTGGAGTTTCTCACTGGTCCCCGGGGCCTGGGATTGCCGAAGGCTGCTCTCACCAGTAAAGAGCACAGTGAAGAAGGCACTGAGTACCTCAGCCTTTTCGGTGGCCTTTGCCAACAGGTTCATTTCACCACGGGAGGCTAGCAGGAGGGTCAGCCATGATTTCCCCTTCATAAATCCATGCTGACTACTCCCAAACACCTTCTTGTCGCTCATATGTTTTGATCTCTCCAGATCCTGACAGGGATGGGTTTTGTGTTGCGACTGAGGGAAACCAGCCTTGCACCTGAACAAAGGATTCTGTTTTCCAAGTTTAGCATTTAGTTATGCTAAATTGATATTTAGTGAAAAAATTTGTTTTCTAAACCTGTTCAAGCAGAAATCCTTATTTTTTTGCAACTTTCACAATTAAGAAAAGGAAAGAAACATTAGCATAGACCAACATTAATTAAAATAAATCAGATCACTATAAGGGTGGAATGATTTTTGTCAGAAATGTAGTGAGTTTGAACCATCACCACATATTAAATTTCATACACAAATCTTCTGCAAATACACTGTAAAACAAACAAACAAAAAAAACCCGAGGGAGAATATTCTTACAATTTGTAGTAACAGCTCATTCACTGCTTAACTGTGGAGTCTCAGGTAAGCTTAGGTAAGTTGTGCTTGGATTTTTTTTTTTTTTTAAACAACTGATGGTATTCATCCTTCATCCTTTCTTTTTCTTTTCAGAGTGTTCCTACCTGGAATGTTACATATGGAGGCCTGCAGTTTGAAACTAAACTATTTTTGGAATCACTAGAATTTCCCAACCCAGACTACTCACAAGCTAGTGGCTAAAGCTCTCTGCTTGCAGCTTTGTTTTCACTTTTAAAAAGGATAGTAAGGAAGGTCTGTTCCTGAGGAAATGTGTGTTTTTATAAAAATACCTACAAATACCTGACGGTGCAGTTAGGTTTTCCTCTGGTGCCTCATATTTTCTTTTTTCTCCAAGACTGTTAAGTATGTCTGTGTTGCCATGAATGAAGTTATTTAACTCAGAGGGCTATGTAACTATGTATTTTCAATAGACCTGACATTACCTGAACTCAGCCCCAGGCTGCTATTATGACCTTACATGAGGTCAAACCCTCCCATACTGAACAAAGCTTTTAATTTCCTCTTAAGTACACCCAATAAGATTGTCTCCCAAGCTCTGCTCTATAAAGATGTATTATTTAGGACTGAAAGAGCACCAAATTCTTATTCCTTTCATTATCCATGCTACTTAATGGGAGGAGGGGAGACTTCCTGATGCACACCACAGCTCTCATCATAGGCTTGAACTGCCCAGAGAACTGTGGATCAGAAAAGAGTAGTATAAATACTTAATGGCAGCATCATGTTATATGAAAGCAATCTTTTCCACTCATTCCTCTCTCTCTGACAAGTAAGAGGCATTTTGCATAAGGGTCAGAGAGAATCCATAGAGTGGCTCTCAAAACCATCCAAAGAAGCATTTCATAGCCTTCTGGAGTGCTTTCAGCTGCTGACTGGCCAAAACAGACTAATGTTAGGGCTATTTGTATGCTTATGTATGAAGCACAATAACAACAAGGTAATTCTGCCTAAGGAGGCAGGTAACTATAGACTTTATGCCACTGGAATCACTAGAATATCCCACTCTACTCCTGATGGGTATCTTTAAAAAAAAAAAACAACATTGGTCTAGTGAACCTGGCATTTATGTAAATGTAAAAAGGCAGAAACCTCTATCCTTCACAAAAAAAAAAATATGCAGTGAGCTTCATTCCAACCATTCATTCACTCTTCTGTATTTACAAATATATTTGTCACTAATCTTCTAAGAAGATGTTCAAAACTCCAACTGAGACAGGTGGGAAGTTTGTAATTGACCTCCCACCTTTCTTACAATCACAAGGCATCTTAAGGCTTTTTTATTTTACGCAGAGACTAGAGGACTTTATGCTACAGCAAGATATGGCACCAACATTTTGTTGTTACACAGGTTTTCAAGACTTCTGTATTATAATACAGAAAAGGGAGCTCACTAACACCTTTCTATTGTGTAGACAGTTAAAACACTAGGAAGAAAACAGCAGGTGGCAGCACCAGCTGCTAGTGATACATTTGACAAGATTTGAGAATTAAAGTTATCACCATCTGTTGTGCAAAAATTTGTAAAACATAGCCATAGAAAGTCATTAATACCCATCTACATAGGCAGTAGGAAACATTTTGGTCTATGACAGAATAACCAACACATTCTGCTCTAGTACAAGACATCGCTGAGTACGAGACATCACTGTCATTGTCTAAGGTATCACAGCAGAATCCAAATAGCATGCAAGAATCGAGATCTCTGGGGCGATGCAATCCTTGGGAGCCTATTAAGCATAGACCGTTTGCTTTACATAGTCAGGCATGATTAACTCAGATGCGTTTACGTATTCTAAAAGGTAGGATAGTTAGTGGAAGAGAAGGCTTAAGGAGGTTGTTGAGTCTCCAGCATTGAGGGTGTTTACGACGAAACCGAATAAGCATTTGTCAGTAATGATATTGGTCTAGTTGATCCTGCGCTTGCCAATGGAAAGAGAGCTCCAGGACAGAGGCACCTCAGCATAAGCTCTTGCAGTTGGAAAGGCAGAACACCCTTCACACAGACTATGATAGAATCAGTCAGCTCTATTTTTAAATTAAGGAAAATATAGCTTTTGAATTTAGAGCATCTTTCTTTATAGAATCAGTTTGACAGTAATTTTACAGTTCTGTTAAAATATATATACACTATTTGTTTCATTATTTCTTCCCTCTGACATACTGCTGGATCAAGACTTTAAAAGATGTTATTTAAATAGGTACTTAAATAATTTACTGATTCACATTCAGAGTAGATTTGTTAAGTGAAACATCGATTCCCTCCAATGTCTTTCTCCTCCAAGAATCCTGCAAAGTCTCTCGAAAAAATTCCCTCTGACCCTCTCCTTCATGTCCCACCAGGACACTATCTGAAGTAACATCAGCCCACCAAAAAGTGGGCTGGAAGCAGTTTTATCTGTATCATTCCCATTAACCAGGTCTAATCGATGCCTGGAGCTTGATGCTATTCCTGCCAGGACCAAAGCAGACTTCTATTTCATTACGCTATTAGTATAATTAATAAGCAACTGAGTAGTCGGTAAAGTGAGCAAAATTAAAACCATTTGCTGGAAAAAGACAGTGAAGACTGTACCGTGGGTCCAGACCTTGTTTCTCTACATAGCGTTATCTGTGGCCCTCTGTCAGCTTACTGCTTTTCAACATCCTGTATGTGTGGACCTTTCAGAACTTTTTACTGGAAGTAGACACCCTCATATAGAGAATTTAAAACTACAGAAAAGATGTTTCCTTTGCCTACTTCTTAATAGTAGTCCTCAGCAGTCCACAGAAGCACAGGATATTTCTTTCACTCTTCTTTCCATTCCTATCTCTGCTTTTAAACTTTACCTCTGTACAAAAAGGTGGGTCTAAAAATACTAAAATAAAGAACCTCAGAGAGGTAAAATCCATCTTCCCTTCTTGAAAGTCATCACTAGTAATAAGCTCCGTCAGAATCAATTATATCCTGCCTGCTGTGCAGCCTCATTAGTTCTGCTGTGATTGAAAAACTGACTGGAAGTAAATGAGGAAACCTGTTGTTCAGACACAAGGAAGAAGAAATTTTAATACATTTCATTCTGGCTCTGCAGAGCTCGCAGAAGGAAAAACTGGTAATAATGTTGTTGTTCAACAAGTCGGCAGATGTGACTGAACCCATGCAGGGAGCAGATATGTTGCGCAAGAGGGCAACATTTTTACAAAGTCATTCTCAGTGCCAGACCACACTCTAAACTTGTTTTTTGTATGTCACTGTAACTCTGGATATTTTTCATGATATTAAAAAAAACACTTTTTTCTTTTTTTAAATATATGAAATTCTGTGCAGAGGACAAACAACTTTGTTTCACTCATACGTGTTATCAGTGCCTTTCATTGTACAACCACCTTTAGAACAATACAAGGTTTTTGGTAAATGGTACAATGTAACGTGACACAACGGAAACGTCTACTTTCCTATAGCCATAGATACGTGTGCACAGTATTTTGCACTATTTGCATGTTCTATGAAATTTGTTAATGTATTATGAAAGATTTAGCTGAGATTTAGCGGGCCTCTTTTGCTATTATTTGTCAAACAGTGGCCTCAAATGGCATAATATAAACATATCTCACATTGTCTTCATTCTCACATTAGGTGGGGTAATGCTATTATCTCCATTTTATTCAGGAACCGGAAAACTGAGAAACAGCATGTTTAAGGCGTTGACTTTTAAAACCTTTTCAGAAGTGCTCTGTATAGCACTGCATTGCTTTGGTAACAGACAGCTAAACCCCATTTTCAGAAGAAACGCAGGCCATCAGGAGTACTAGACCTAGTGAAAAAAATCAGGCTATTTATTTTAGACACCAGGCCTAAATTTAGACATCTATCTCTTTACAAAACTCCTGGCCAAAGAGAGCTCGTGCGGAAACAAGTGCAGAACAGATATGCCATTTTCCAAAACTTCATGTAGCTTTTGGGTAATGTGAATCAGCTTCTTTATTCTTGGATCTTGAATCAAATTCAGTGGAAAGAAATGTGCAGTGTTATTTATTTTGTTGTTGTTACATTCCGAGTTAACTGTCTTTTAACATGCAGTCCTCAGTAAACTAATGTTCCATGCCAAGGTTAAGAATAATGGTAAAAAACAGAAAATCACTGGAGTGCTTACAGGACAAGGAGACATCATATCTCATGTTAACTAAACAAAAACGCCTAATATCTTCTAAAATATGTAACATTCAAAGCTTGCTTAAGCAGCTCAGCAGAATCTATTAATGAACTATATCACACAGTGGTCCCTTTTGGGGATATGGCTCCACAGCAACACAGAGTATGAGGACCTAGCTATCCCCTTTCAACAGGAAAATCAAAAGGAACAGAAATAAACGATTCAAGAATCCTATAGTTACTTTTATGCATACAGTATTCCCCTCTCCTCTACTTACTATTCAGCAGAGAAATACTTCCATGGAACCAAAAGATTGTTCTGAAAGAAAGTGGTTTTAAATTTTGAGTTTTGATGAGAACCCAGTCTCCCCTGGAATGCCTAGTATCAAAACCCATTCAGACCACTTCACACAGCCCATACTTCGCAGTTTACCTTGTCTGATATGGCTGGCGCAGCCCCACTCTTCTGTTGACCTTCACCAGATAGATCAGTACCTGCTGAGTCAGATCCAAAGCTTGGGCCTTTACCAGATTTATAGGGTTTAGAACTTGACAGCCCCACACCGCTGTTATTTCCTTTGCAACTCCTTTGGTGCACAGTGAGACGATCAGGAAGGAAAGTCCTGCCACACTTTTCACAAGGCAAGAGCTGGGCTTGAGCACTCTGATATGCTGCCTCATTTTCAGCTGCAGTCAAACAGGAACCATGAGTAGGGGCCTCAGGTCTCCTGGGCTCTGCTCTTCGCAGATGCTTTGGTAGTTGATCATTTTCAATATGCCACTTCTCTAGACATTGGGGTTCATGTATGGAAATAGACTGGGACCCGAATTCTCTGCCACAGATATAACACACTCTAAAGCCAGGTCGTCTTGGTGGGATGACTGGTCGATTCAGTGGAGTCTGAGACATGTTTGAAGAATCTGACTGTTTTGATATTATTGCAGTACCTGGTCGTCTTTTCTTGGGGCTAGCTTCTAGATGCACTATTTCTGGCAAAATTATGCCAAGATCTGACACGCTGGATGTTGAAACCTGTTCTGAAGGCAAGATGGTAGAGATATTAGCAGAGGCCTCCCCGACACTTAGCAGAGTTTTATTGGTTTTGTTTGCACTTTTTCTTTACATTGTTTCCAAGAAGGATACAACATTTCAAGAACCCGCTCTTCTACACAGATAGGGCTTGAGAAAGGCTGTCATTCGGCATGATGCTCCATCTTGTTAATTTATTTTTGTGGACCTGAATGTGCTAGAGACTTTAAAGCTGGAAAACTGCATCTAATGGCCTTTTCAGTAGGGAAAAGTGTTTCTGTGTGTTTTTGTTTTGCCTTTTGGTTTTATATGATACTGAGACAAATTCAATTAGTATAATTAACAAATTTCACCTCTCTTTTTAAAGTTAGCAACCAGTGGTTTTTCACAAGGGTCAGTTTACCTTACTCTGTTACATTTTTAAACAACGGACAAATAACATCAAATATAACCTACCCCTAATCATCAGCTGCACAATATAAACCTCAAGCTTCAGACTTGGAGGCTGCAAAGCCATGAAGGAGATAAAAAGAAGAAGGGTTTCCACAGACTTAAATTGCTAGAATATATCTGGCTTTGAGTATAATCAATATGATTTATTTTCAGTTACTGATAGAACTGTTACTTCCACCACAGTCTTCAATTTCTAAACTATTTATTTTAATAGTTAGATATCATTTCCCAGTCTGTGGAAAAATGCAAAGAAATCCCTCTGTGGAGGGACTGATGTTAATGTCCAGTCTCCAAAGGGACAGCCAATTAGCAAGGAAAATCTTCCCATTCAGTAGGCTGAAGGAAGTTATTAGGACCCTCTACTCACCGGTTGTGAGGTGGTTTCTATCTCAAACACTCTGTCCAGTCTTAGGCCGCCCAGTACAGGAGCCACATTAATAAACACAACCAGTTCTCATTAAGGGCCACTAAAATGATTTGGGGCTGAAGCACACAACACACGAGGAGAGGTCGAGGGCACTGCATTTGTTTAGTCTCAAGAAGACATGACTAAAGGGGGATCAAACAGCTGTTTTAAAATACCTAAAAGGGTAATTATAGAAAAGATGGAGCCAGACTCATCTGAGGTGTACACAGGGGTAGAACAAGAGACAATGGTCATGAACTGCAGCAAGGGAAATTCCCACCGCATATACAGAAAAAATCCTTCATTGTGAAAGTGGTCAAGCATTGAAAATAGGGCTCTCCCTCTTTGGGGATTTTCAAAACTCAACTGGACAAAGCCCCAAGCAAACTTGTTCTAACTTTGAAGCCAGCCTTGCTCTGAGCAGCAAGCTGTACTATGTGACTTTCACGGTCCCTTCCAAACAAAATTGTTCTAACATTATATGTGTCTCCAAGGTCTCCTCATAACGCTTCAGTATACGTTTCCATTTTCTCCTAACTCAGCGGGAATCAAATTTAAGGTCATCTTGCATGACTCAGCACCATGCCAATTACAGGCTGTCATTTTAATCTTTGATTCCTGCGAAACAAATTTACCTTTGACAGAAATCTGCAGGTAGCCTGAAAGCCATCCAAACAAAACCATTAAAATATGGCTTATTTGATCTTCCTGATTCTCTAGGATGGACTGGACTCCATTACAATTTGAAGGTCCTTCCATCTCCACAAGTCGAATAGGAGGACTAAATTCCACCCTGCTATAAACCTGTGGACTTTATTAGTTTCAATGGTAGATGTATACACACATCCGCTCATGAAGTCAAACTTAAGACTTCTGTGTCTAATGGTTTATATGACTGGTTTACATAAACAAGGTTTATACAGTTCTATGACAGGAATAGCACTATTCTCAACTTAAATCTAATTAAAAAAGGAGATGTGGACCTGTGTTCGAAATTAAAAATCCAGGACCCTTCCTGTTTACATGAGTCTAAGGCTGAGGTAGCTATGTAGCAGCCGAACAACGCTGATGTAAAATGGGAAGTGAGAAGAGAATCAAACCCCTGTGGTACAAAAGATGAATGAAAAAGACTTGAGAATTTGATCTCTCATAAAACTGGTTTTGCACTGAAATGTCATTTGATTACATTTGGAGTCTATTGCACTAGAAACAATATGTACCTTGTCTCAAGACAATACAGGAAATCTTGACTATTCAAGATGACCTAAGATTTTTATTTTGAACAGTTTTGCATATGTGATATTTAAACCAATATCTTACTGAGAATTACTTTTTATCTCCATGACCTCCTTCTTTCAAGCATTTCTGATTCAGTGTTTACTGGAAGACAAGATCATGACCACAGATGCAACAAACTTGAAAATCCAGACAAGTTACTGGCACATGACATTGATTCTGTATAAAAGAAACAAACATAAGACATGTAAAGTAAATGACTAGATAAATTTTGAGCAACTATATTGAAATGGACTTTAAATTCATAACAAAATTACAGAATCAAATTAGCAGTGAGACTTGGATCATAATACAATATAAGTCAGCAAGAGCAAGAGAAACTTGCTATAATCCTCAACATAAGGTAAGTCACTATAATTTCTGTTGGGTCTTCCATGGATACTTAAAGGAGTTACAACAGCTCCAAGATAAAAGCCTTGGCCTCGTATTTTGTTCAGTTGAGTCCTATATAATATTTGGATACCAATGAAAATGCAAAGGCCTGATGAAGTTGTGTTTTTGAGTTCAGAATTCATCTTTGGTCTTGAATTCAATTTTGTAATATGAGGTTTTGGAAAATGATTTTTTCTTCTGTTTGGCAACTATGAAAACAGACTTTTAGGGACAGAAGTAAATGTTAGTTTTTACTTGTGTTAGTACACCACAGCCTAGTTAGTTCTGGGAGCGGAGGCTAAAATCTCTCCTGAGTCACCTACCAGTAAATGAATTGAGAGCTGTGTTCCAAACAGAGGCCAAATTCTTGAGCAACAGCTATTGAAGATGTGCTTTATTGATGGAAAAGATGAATAAGAAAGGAAGAGACAAACAGCTTGACTTACAAGTCCCACCTGTAACTTACAAGTTCTGCTTGTAAATGTAGCAAAACGTGCTGTGCCAAGGAAATGCAAGCATGGCAAAAATAGGACCTAAATTGCACAACTATGACATACTGTTTGTACTGTTATTTTTCAGAGTTGAGGGAAGCTTTAAAAGCTCTGTCTCTCAATATTCTTAGCTTTTAACTTAAAACTAACAAACAGGTATCATATTAATTGCTTAAATTATAATTGTTACTGCAGTGTTTGTAAATTCAAAGACATCTATAGGCCAAAAGAGAACTATTATCTGCCTTTGCCAATTTCAAACACAGACTGTGAATATCCTACCAGCTTTCAGTGACAATCCTGCTTTGCATCTGTATAGTCTTAAGTTGCTTTACATGTGCAAAGCATCAAAGACTAACTACAGAAGAGAAATTGGTAAGCAGAAAATAAATGACCTGCCCAAAGCTGAAGATGAAGATCTGAACCAAGTGTTTCCTTACATTAGTTCTATGCAGCAAACACTAAACCTATTAAAATAAATAGACTGAAAATGAATCATATAAACCTTATTTACGCTACATTAAAAACCCTTGTACCTTCACTGTGTTTAAAACTAGAAGACCTCAAAGCTTTTTACAAATATGAATGAATTGTGCTGTACAACACAGATGTGAAATAACTACTCTGCTTAACAAATGAAAGTGACTTATCCAAAGGCTTGTTGCACATGGTTAGACATGTCAAAAATAAAATCTTCATCTCTGACTCTTAGGCCTCAGCCAAAACCAGAAGATATTTCTCTTTTCTAGTGCATCCAGAATCTGGCCTGGGACCAACATATGACAGTGACCTTTTAATGCCTTTTTTGCAAGCTATTTTCTGAGTCATAGCTTTCGCTGTTTGTAAATTCAAGCTTGGGGAATTTTTACTTACAGGGTTTCTAAGGACTTACATCTTCACGCTTGGCACTATGGTGAAGGTGCCTTTGCCATGACTTAGAAAAACCTTACCAAAAAAGCAAATCAAAACAGAAACACTTCAGACAGGACTCAGGACATATTTTGCCCCAGACGTTTCAGCAGATCCTATTTCCTTCAAGCATTTCAGTTTTGCAATTTGCAGTCTGTCCCTATATATGAACAAGCTTGTGTTGTATCACATAAATGCTCCTTTATCGCAGAGACCAGGCTTTGTGCTGGTCTTCCCACTATCAGAAAATGAAGTTTAGACTGTAAGCACTTTAGAGTAGGGGTTATTGTTTTACAAGTACACAAAATAACTAGCAGGCTAGCTTTAGACATAAGTGAGCGGGTAGTTGCATAGGCAGGTGGCTGCCAGAGACAGCAAGGTCACCATTGTCTACTTTATCTATAAGAAACAGCTGATTGCTGCTTATTTTGCCACCAAAGATAGAGTCAAGGTGTAACAGCCACTGCTCTGGAGTAGCAGGTCTTTCTTTGATGTAAGAGGCCCCTGCCCTTATCAAAAATTCCAAACTTTATCTCAAGCCCTCCCCAAACTTTTGGGGGTTCTTTATGTACAAAACTTACCTATGCAGAAATGCCTCTGACCCATCTCAGATTACTCCACTGCCACTGATCAACCTGAATCTGCCCTGAATCTCCTCACTGCTCTTTCATCATGTCACTCTTTGGTCCTGCTCAGCAGCCATTTCTCCTTGTCCCTCCTATCTGAGCCACTTAACTACAACCACATGTTGAATTGCACTACATCCAAGGACGAAGACAAAAATTTTGTCCATAACCTTGAGATGACAAACTTTGGCTATGCCACTGAGAAGCCTTGAGCTGGTTCTGTTCTCTCATTAGAGATGCTAGGTGATACCAAAAGAACATAGCTAACAGTGAAAAAGTGAGTTATCACCAGGTTTACATGATAGTCTTCATGCTGCCTGTCCTACAAAGCTGTTTAGTTTCCTGTAGTCACACTTTTAGCTTTAACATTCACCTGATTATATATTCCAGGGACATATGTGACACTTTCTCATTTTACAAAATCTCCTGTGAAGCTCAGATTTGCTTGTTCACAAATTGAACGATGGGAAGACCATCGGAGCCAGACTGTGATTTGTACTAGAACAATTCTCTGTGAAATATTAATTTTGTAGCTAGCTGGTAAAAATAAAATTCTTGAGGGATAATACATAACACCACAGTCTATTGAATGATATTGTAAAGGACACGGTTGTAACATCCTCTCATTTCTGAAGGTAGTGGATATTCACATACTGTTTGTCAGAAGATACACAAAACTTTATCATTGAAATTTTTATCTCAGATATCAAAAACCTTTTCTGTCCAATACCTGTACCGCGTATAATTGTGAAACATCCAGTGGAAATCATATTAAAACTAACAGTCAAAGCAGTTTGGACAGTAGCAATTAATAATACACAGACAGCTAGCTGGCTCCAGAGTGGTGCTGTCCTATTTTAAAGAAATAACTTTTGTCCCCACCAGTGAAGTCCCCGTAGTGCAAAATGCGTTTTCCCTTTACTCTTTGCTGTGTAGAAAATATCAGATAAGCTAGTCATACAACAAATCCAAAGGCCTCTTCCTTGTTTTAGAAGGTCTAAACTTTCTGACCTTGACCTTACAAAAGGCTGACCACTTCGCACCGCAGATTGCTGCTGCATGAATTTGCCAGTCTCAGCTAGTTAAGAGTACGTGATGCAGTTAGGCATGTGGTTCAACAGTTTGTAAAATTTAAATTCATTTGCAAACTAGCAGATAGGCTGCTCTACTGCAAGGTCTTTTCAAAGACTGGGAGAGTTTCCAAAGAGGGTGGCCTATCGGATGAATCCAAGTTGGGAAGTAGCCAAGCTCTTTAGGAGGATGAAGGGAATGGAGAGCCAGGGAAACATTAAAGGGTCATGAGGAGAGAGGAGATAAGGGTTACTGCAGGGTCACAGGAAGGGAGCATCAGAAAGTTCAAATACATTTCAGGGAACTTCTGACCTTTGCAAGAGGCTGCACTGCTAGCTACATGTCCCATTTACTCATCTATGTCAGAAAGATACTTTCTGTTACCCGAGACCATTTTTAAAGCAACAGTGGACAAGAAACTGACTGCCACGTGAAGAATGTTAGGTGACTAAATCTATTAGTGTTAAGAATGAATCAGTCAATAAAAGATGCTATAAACAACCTATTAACAATATAACCTATTGTTAGATTTCCAAGCTTGCTGTTATAAATACTTCATAACAGAATTATGCTTCCTTGTGGGGATTACACCATTTGGTCTACATTTATTCCTGCCAAGTTGACCGTTATTATTTGGAAAGTTCCTATAAATTCAGTGTGAAATGAAAATGCATATGAGCAGTTCAAACCCTCTTTTCTCAAGTTCAGTGATAAAGGCACGGAAATAAGTTAGGATTGGGATTTAACATTTTGTTTAAAAACATTATAAAACTTTGGGTTTTTTTTTTCTTTTAAAAATGTTATATGTTATTTAATAAAGTGAGAAGACAGAATTGGTCATTGTATACAGCTATTGGGAAATATTCGTCTCCTCTGCAGTTCCACTGAATGCAATACTAAAAAAAAAAAACAAAAAGAAAAAAGAAAAACCATGAATTGCAATGACAGGGCATTTACAAATAATGGATTCAATTTAATTTAAAGCAGCTGAAATACAATGGCTTGTTTAGCATCAGGCTGAGAGTTTCACTTTACCCAAAATAGAACAGAATCAGAAGACTGCTAGTAGTTCAGTAGTTCTCTTCTTGTCCCGAAAGGAGAACAGGAACTCTTGTACACTTTATTTTTAAGCTTACCCCATGCAAAAATTGCAACAACGGCATTATTACCCAGGCTTTAGTAACATTGTCTTCTTCTAGCAGCCATGTGCGAGTCAACCTATAGGTGCAAGTTTCTTCCTTCAAATGGCCTTCTTTGTGTCTTCTTTCATGTCAGTGTTGGAACTTGGAAACAAAGTTGACACATACGTTTCCTATTTCCTGTATGCAGCTCTTCCTGAAGAGCGACCCTTTCTGTTTCTCATCTCTCTTGATTCTCTCATGCAAACAATTCCTCAAAACCCATTATCGGGTCATTTTGCAAGCCTAGATTCCTTGAATGAACTGAACAAAACGTACTTGCGCTAGCTGGGGGATTAAATTGTTTGCTGTTGCTGTTTCCAACAAATCCTCAACACTACTGCTTTTGACTTAGCAGGAATTCCACATGGAGGCTTCTTGATTGAAAAAAAACAGAGCTTACCTTGTAGAAGAACACATTGCATGAAGCCTCCTGCTGCTAGAACACAAATGTGCTTATTCAATGGGCAAAATACAGAATTGGTTGTGAAAATCTGGGGAATCTGTTTATA